CCCGTCAGAGATAGCTACCAACAGCTATGTGGCCTACAGCTCCAGCAACCCAGCTGGCTTATCTCCAGCCAAAGCAGCAAGAAAGGTGTCCTTTCTACCATAGTTTAAGAAAAATAGTACGAAAGATTGAGACCATCCTGATTAGTGTAGCCCCATTGATACCACACGTTGATACCTATCCTGTTTAGGCCGGGCAGAAGCAATAGGAGGTAGCAGATAGTACTGTTCCCAGACTGCCACTGCACGATTGAATAACGAAGGTCCCCAGCTCCTGAGGTGAGACTGGCCCAAAGGGCCCAGCAGAGAGCTCTCTGCCCTCCTGTCTGACTGACAGGGCCAAGTCCTTGGTTTGGTGCCTACTGGAGGTGTTGGAACACTCCTGAGGCACGACAAGGCTCCCTGAACTGCCTGACTACCGCTGTCCCTGAGGAAGGGTTTCAGCGAGGTCCAGTCCACTACTTGGGTATTGGAACTGATACTTCTAGAAACTTATTGGCACCAGCTCATGTGTAAGGGCATCCACCATGTCTTCAGGCAGATAGATGTTTGCCTAGTAGACGGAAGCAGTAGGTGAGACATTTCCATTTCAGGTTTTCGTGTGAAGAAGCACAATGGCGACAGTGTGGAAGCGCGCACATCAGAGATAACAGCATCGTACGTACCTTTCGATAGTCCTTTTTCATGCAATTGAACAGGCGGTCACAGTCGTTCTTTGTGTGTCCTCTAATGAAGAAGCAACACTTCGCCACCTCTGCCACTCCAAGCTTGACCAGCAAGTAGATTAGACGGATCACCATGTTGTTTTTGTTCTGTCCAGGATAGTTGTCGAAGAAGAATGCTATCTCCTTGAAGGGCTCTGTATTGTAGAGTACTCCTGACCGTTGAAGGTGAAGCCAGAGAAGAGATGCCACATTGTTGCCTCCTTTCTTCGCGACATCCTCTGTATAGACATAAGCACCAAGTTGATCAACTGAAGTGTCCACGACGCCAAAGCAATAAGTATTCAGTGGACTCTAGTAGTATGTCTCTCCTGGTTGCTCGAAGCCAAAGGAAGGGATACCCATGTTTTGTGCATAATCCGCGACAAAACAGAGAGTCCACTCACTTGGTCTCTTGTCCTTGGAACTCATTGCCAACTCCTTGTATTCCTGGAAAAGTGCTCTCTGATCATTGTACATGGTGACATGATGAGCGCTCCTGTTGAGGAGTTCCACTTGTTCCTTGAGTAGGTCGGCCCTGTCGCTGTCAGCTTTTGTTGGTACTGTTGGTACTCCCGGTTCTGGCACTGATGGTGGTTGATCCACTTCTTCTTCATCATCTTCCGAGTCGCCAGAGAGATGCATTCGATCAATAATGGATAGTCGATCTTCTTTGGCCTGCAGACGATTGACAAGATACTTGTGCCGGTTGGCATGCTTGAAGCACTCATTGCAAATGTCTTCTCTAGGTCAGCACACCACTAGGAGCCGGTAGTGCTTGGACCAATACTTGTGGAACTCCGACCAACTGCAGATTGGCTTTTGTTCCACGCCAGGCAAGGGAACGTTTCTGGACACTGCCCCCTTAGAATCGATGACATACTTGTATCCCCTGTCTTGGATGAATCTTCCGTACAGTTGCCTTTTTGAGTTGCACGAAGGAAGTTCCAGCAACTCGTCATTGTCATCTTTCAGGGAGTTCTGCACCTTGTCACCAACGAGATCTCTAATGAAAAGAGTTGCCCTTGGACATGCAAGCTGTTTCATGGATTCAAAGAACACCGACAGGGCTTCGTCCATCGCAACTAGGCCTCTGTGTGCTCTTCCATCGTTGCCATGTGATACGATTCGCTTGCCATCTGCAATATTCTCACATGTCTTCCATTTCTCATATCCGAATCCAATCATTCTCATCAGAGTATCCCGACAACAAGTAACTGAGGCGAGGAAGATCCCTGGCATGAGGTAGCATCTCACTTGCTCCTGCTTGTTCAATAGATGCTTGTGCTTCAGCTGCCACTTGGTGTACTTGATCCACTCTGCCACCCATGAAATCTGCCCATTCCGGTCCCTTAGGGCAAAAGCGAAAAGGGAATTCACAATAACATTGAAATTGTAAGTGCCATGCTCTGGAATGTCATGGCAGCAGGTGCATGCCTTGTCTCTGCCGCTGTTCTTCACTGATACACAATGGTCGAGGGCTCGATAGCCAACTAGCCAGATGCGAATCTCTTCTTTGAGTGCTTCCACGTTGGGGGGATTCTTGCTCCGATTTCCCAGCAAAATCTTGTTTCGAATGCCAGGAGAGTGGATCTTCCTCACAGGGCTGATTGCGATGCTGTTGGTGATGGTGTTGGGGGTATCCGCAGGTTCTGTCATGGTCAAAATAGGCCACTATCCGCCATCTTTGCTGAGGTTGGAAGCAGTTCTTTCTTCTTTCGATAGTGCGAAAAGTCGTGTAAGAGTGGACGGATAGGTGTGGGAGTCGGCCAATGCTGCACGATTAAGCGAATTGCACCTGATCGCACCGAAAGAGTTAGATCTGTCGGTTACGCATTACTCAGTAACTAGCCGGCAGATGGGTATGTGTAATACATTGCTGGATAGGTATTAATGTTAAGAAGCGTTTCCGCGAATAAAAAGATTTTGCCACCACCTCACATTTTGACGGCCGACGGACAGACACGCGCTGGTTATTGTGTGGCCAATCTTATCTATATCATGCATATCCTACTAACTAGAAAAGCCATTTGGCACGCTTGCTCACTCATTCCTCGGACAGCCATTTTCACGGGCCCATTTCAGCAGCTCCAAACGCACAAGTCAGTGCTGTATTTCCGATGCGGAGTAGTACAATAAGCTTGGTCACCTCTATTTAGTCGTCGCGTGGTTTGAATGGTGCTACTGCACTACGCTAAAAGCTAGTGTAAAGATCTTTCGAGTGTTTTGAGTTTGAGAGAATGAAAGTTACGAGAGAGATTAGAAAGCTATGAAAACTAATCAACGAGAGAGATCATCATCAAGGGATCGTAGATCTGGCTTCCCGCGGGAGACTATAAAGTGTGATAGAGTAGGTTGTGGTAGTAATCCTACGTCTCTCCACGATCCTAAAACGGAACGCGTGGAAGGTTTGTCTAGCCTGGATCTAGTAGCGTGGAAGTACTCCACGCTGGCTAAATATCTAGAGCGATGTTTCATCATCAACCTAGTATGACTAGCGCGGTCATTGAGAACCCTGTCTCAAATGACTATTCACGAGAGACTCGGTCATGAGTCAAACTCAAACCCTATCTAGGATCGAGTCGCGAATAAGGCTAAGAGCCGTGTATTGCACTCCATCTGATCCCCTCCCTTTGGTAAGTACTACTTTACTATTTCTGTTGCCAATGTTATTTTCAAATGCTCAACTCTGTTTCTTGTAGCGCAAAATCGACCACGTCTTGACATATGCCGAGATTGTGCGTCTGATTGGAGGTCTCTTTGATGGTGTTGATAGCTCCTGAGCGGTCAACAACATGGAAGCAGCCTCTTTGTTCTTCACTGAAGGCCACATTCCTTTTGAAGCCATCAATGATCTTGGTTTCCCAGTTGGAGCTGTCAACAATGTCATGGTTCAGAATGCGCCTGTTGTGGCTCATGCTGGTGGTGGTGGTGGTGGTCCCCCCCCTGCTGCAGCAGCCCCCTCTGATGGCCCACGCCCCCTGCTGCTAACAACAATGACAACGAATGATCTAAGGATGAGTAAAAAGCGGAGTAAAATGTGGTGATGTTCTATGTTCTCTGTTGGAATTCTATTTTTGGTTCGTGAGTAAAGGTGATGTCCAGCCAAGTTAACTAAATTGTTTTCTCAAAGAACAGCTCTTAATTCTCTAATTTGAGTTAATTTCTTTTACGAGTGCCCTGACTCATAGTAACTCGTACTATAGTAGACAAGTTTTTTGTTATGTACTGGTACTCCTAAGATCAATTGAATCTTACGTAATTCTACTAGGTTCTCAAAACTCTAAATCACCAATGGGGACATACAATACCGGTTGCCACCAATGGTGACATACAATACCGGTTGCCAAAGCTATGCTATTTTAGTACAATAGACCGGCTTCTAGTACAGAGACATGGGGTAATTTGATTCCGTGCCATTTTGAAGCATTTTTTTTAAAGATAAAGGGCCCGAGGCTTTTTAAAAAAAAAGATAAAGGGCTCGAGGCTGCCAGTCCTTTTTTAAAAACGACAAGGCTGGCGCTGTCTGTCATTGCCAATCCCAGCTCGAGCCCAAAACCCCACAAATTCCAGTATTAGCATCGTGCTCTTTCATCTACAACAACCACCATGATTTCTCTTTCAGCAAAGCCATCTAGAAACATACACCACAGTCGGACTTCCTGCCATGAAAAAACTCACAAGAACCCTGTCCTTTGGCCTGATGGTATGGAGAACCTCGATGCCATCCAGGTTGGACACCAGAGTGGTTCAGACTGTGCAGTAAAAGTGTGCGGGAAGGAGACTTTGGTGTTTGTGGACAAGTATGGTTTTGTTGGACGCCATGAGATCAAGGAGAAATACACCATGGCCCAACTTCAAACTCAATTGCCTCAAGGGTGTGTCGGTGTTTGGGTGATTAATGAGAATTGCCACAAAACAAATAGATGTCTCTTTGGTAGCGTCTTTATCAGTTACCGGTACAAAATCATTGGGATCATCCACAGAGCCGTGGGCTGTAACGCCATTGTCGAAACTGTCTATCCTCCACTACCCAAGGGATCCCAACAAAAATTCTGGATTATGCCAATGGATCACGAGATGTATTATTTGGAGCAGATTGGTGGCTTTTCAATTGGACTCCCATTTATGATTCGACCCAAACAATACAATGATGATGGGCGGCTAAAACCTCTCGTTGATGTGTTTGGCTTTGTTAAGCTGAGCGTTAAAGGACCCGACATTGTGCAGCCATCATTACAAGTTGCTTCGAACGGCTCATACGGGAGCTCCAGCAAAATAAGCTACTGCTGTCCATTTCATGTCAACCCAAGAAATCCCAGAAACTCCAATGCCCAGTGCCGACATTGTATGTTTATGAGACAAAGGAAGGTTCAATGTCAAAAGTCCAACGACCCAATCTCTACAGTGTACAACTTGGAGTTTCCAAAGGCACTGATATTGGTGGCAAGCATTGTCGAAAAAAGTGAGTACCACACCGTTTCTTTCCTTCCTAACGCATTCACTCGTATGCTACTATCTCACCTCTTGTCTAGATTTAATTCTATAAGAGTTGCATGGATCACAAAAAAGGTCGCTGATAAGCTTTTGAAAGTCTGGAAGGGTGAATGGCACTGTTGGAAAAAGGTAGTGCATTGGGTCGTACGGAATTCAAAGCACATCGACACATACCTTGTTCCCAATCTGGCTGAAATTGGTGCTACTAGTGGGTTCCGTATCAAAACTGTGACACGTGCTGAGTTTGCAGGTTTGAAAGGTGCTTCGTTTCATCATGGCACTAAGTTATTCCTGTTGGGATCGGAACCCAGGGACCTGTCACATCAGAAATGTGTCGGTAGACTTATGAGTTGTTGGGGTTTCGACAAACGGTTGACTTGTGAGCAGATCACTTACCCGGGTGCTTCAATTATGGTTGATTGTATGCATCGTGGCATACCACGACCAAGTGTTGGGCATTTTGGCATGAATGCCTATAACAACAAGAGATTCAGCACAGCATACGTTGCCACCCCACTGGAGGCAGTTGAAGACAAGGGTGACCTGCAAATGCATCGGGCTGAATTTGCTGGGCATGGAATGAGGCCCCAGCTCATTCGCATGTGTCATGCTCTTGAAACTGTGGCCTTGCAGTTTGCTCACAAAATGAATCCTGAGGGTATGAATCTCACAAAGCATCTTTCAGGTCTCAACATTGCCACGTGTGGGTTTCGGGATTGTAAAACCGGTCAAGCCAAGGAAGGTCAGCCACCTCAAAAGAGACAAAAAATCCACAACAATCCACAGTCCTGGGAAACACGTGTGCCCTACTCACCTCGACAGCTGGTTTATGGCTTTGCCAACACTGGTCATATTGATACCAAGGATCAACTCACAGATGCTCAGCAAAGGGAGCTCCACAAAAATGCGGTGGATTCCCAGGTCAAGTTGCGGCAATTTCCAGGGCTTCCCACCACGTGTGCCTGGCAATTTGTGTTTCGAAACACAGGAGCATCTCAGCATCTGAAGATACATCAACATTTTACTATGCATGGCTTGGGAGTCGCGATGCCGATCCAGCATGGGCTTGGCCATCATTTCTACGGTGGCGTCTTTGAGCACAATACCAGTCTTTGTTTGGTTGAACGCACAAAAGATGGCTTGGTCTCTGTTTCTAATCATGATGATCATTTTATTCTCTTTGCTTGGGGCAACAGCAAAAAGATCCCCAGAGCTGAGATCCTAGCATTGCTACAGGAAGCAGCTGAGCCTTTGGTCGCTTATGGCCAGGCGGTGCCTGGCAATAATACTGCTGTACCTGCTGCAGCTCTGCCACCACCACCACCACCGCCGCCGCCGCCACCTCCTGCATAATAGTAAATGATTATTTCTCCTTTTTGTGTATTGCATTGATTAGATACAAGTACTGTTTCCTTGAAGCTTCCTTCAGCTCGAGTGTGTGCTGTGCTTTTTTCTTGCTTCCTTTGGATTTTTTTTCTTCAGCTCTCAGCTCGAGTTTTTGGATTTTTTGGGTTTTTTGGGTGAGTCAGTCTTGGAAGAACTAACTCCATGGAGCCTCACGCCCTTTCCCACCATCATCGTCACGAAGACGAGCGAAAACAGATCGATGCGAAAACGCACTCTCAGTCACGAGAAAGAAGAAGAATCAGTCCCGAGTGTCACGAGCCGCGAAATAAATATGCACACGCGCACACGTGTGTTCAGCGGTACGGTACCGGTACAGTAAAATGATACCTGGTCGGGGTACCGTGGTACCGGGACATGTATTGTATTCTTTGCCCTCAACTACCAGCTAGCAAGCTGAGGGCCTTTAGAACTTTATTCTTCCTCGTGTGTCGTGAGCCTGTGGTGTGTGTCGTGTGTAGTGTGCTTGTGCGATCGTGTGTGTGGTTGTGGTGTGCTGTGGTGTGGGTTGTTCCGTACCAGTATGGTGCGGTCCCTGCTAATGAAGGCTTACCCGCCGTACATATTGTGCGCGTTAGCCCTTTGCCAAGTATATGTGCTACCGGTAACATATGTGTGCGTTTCTCCTTACAAGTTAAGGCTACTTGGTCCAGAACCTCTCTTGCCCTTTAGAATAATATGCAAGTTTGAGAGGCCACTAGGCCTCCGGCTGAGCTGTTCTTTGGACCACTCTGGCGATAAAAGACGTCGCTTTCCGAGAGTGGTGGTACACTTGTATGCATAGCCATGCCAATAAAGGTCTGACATTTGCATGGCAAGGCCCACAACACTCATCTGCGAAAGCAGTAGATAGAAAGATAGATCTCTTCGTTACATTTATCTCCATCGCAACGATTCGCTTCAACAACCATGCCCAATGCGTCTATCGTCGCCAATAATCTTGCGAGAAAACTAATCAAGAAAGAAACAAGCTACTAAGGAATGGCTCAGGGGTTTGTTTCGTTGGATGTCCCATCACTTGTGGAAAAATATAATCGGGGAAGCCGTCAAATGTATCACAGGGTTGATAGTATACGTCTATCCACAATAAAATGGAATACACCTATGGAGTGTATGTGTGTGTAAAAAAGTTGTGTTGGGTTGCATGGTGTAGTAAGCTGGCGTGCGTGCTGATCTTGCTTTTTCTAGTATCATCATAATCAGTGCCTACCAAGGATTCTTCTTCTTCTTTCCCTTTCTAATTCCTGTCTACTATGACGGGCAATGCTTGGTCGTGGTCGCTGTGTGCAACTGATTCCCACCAATCCATCCAGTCCTTTGATTCGAGATGCTCTCTTGCAAATCCCTTCCATCAGTGCAAGAAAAAATTTGGGAATCGAGTCTATTACAAGACGCAGTCAGGCGTCCTCGATGAAGAATCATCAAAGCACAGCAGCTAACAACAACAAACCACGGAGCTCCTCAAAGTTCATCGCTGGAGGTTGGCATGTTCCATCCCAAGCAATGCTTCCAAGCCGCTCGACAGGGACTTGAGGCACACTGCATTGAACCATCTCCACGCGCCTTTCATGATCTCTCCTCTTTCA